AGGCATCAAATCATGGAATATGGCTGCGAAATTTTGTCACTGGGCTGCGCATTGTGGATAATATAGAAAGACCACTCAAGTTATTTTGTGACAATAAATCAGCAGTACTGTATTCCAATAACAACAGGAGCTCGACGAAATCAAAACATATACCGATCAAGTTCCTAGCTGTTAAAGAAAGAGTTCAGAGTAGACAGGTGTCAATAGAACATATAAGAACAAACTCCATGGTTGCGAATCCGCTTACTAAGGGATTGATACCCAATGTCTTTCATGAGCACATTGCTCATATAGGTGTAATATCTCTTGAGAATATCTAGTTTCAATGGAGTTTGTATTTTTATACTTTGAATTTTAGACACATGTACTGTCATTTTGGATATTGTTTTAAAATTATTTTGGTTATAAATTTTTTTAGTTTATTATCTCTGAATATGTTTGAAATGATCTCACCAAGGTATTAAGGTGGATCAGTTGGAAATATGCATGCTAAGATCGCATCACATGTAATTTTCATGCTACACATTCATGCTTGATCCATGTCATTCAGTTATGTCTATATACNNNNATTCAGTTATGTTGATATACGTGACCATTGATGTGTTTAATTACAATAGAAGTAGCGAAGGCCACTTTGATCCTATGTTGATATGATTGATGGACCGGATTGTTTGGGATGCATTCGGTAATGATAGAAAAATTCTGAGTACTTATAAGGTTATGTTTAATACACAATTATAAGGTAACACATATATCCCAAGTGAGAGATTGTAAAAAAAATTAATCGATCATGTGAGCTTATATGTGAATTATTGTCTATGAAATTAAATGATATCGATTTTGGTTAAGCCTATTTTTCGGTAGGGTTTTGAAATATCTAATTAAAGTGTGGGCCTTTATGTGTAGAGATCATTCCTAATTTCATGATAGACCGAATTAGATTAACATGCCGTTAATATATTTATACGGTTATGGTCCTCGGATCATACGTGAATTGTTTATTCTATTCTGACTCCCATCATCAGAAAGAAATAAAAAACCACATGTTGATCTGGAAGACTAAAAGCTGCATGATTTATTCATTGCGATAACCATGTCTGATTTGGTACGCTTCTACTTCGATTCATAAATTCTTTATAATCCAATATAAACGATCAATATGACGGTAATAAACTTTCCCAACATTTATAACATATATACTTGGTCATTTACGTGATTAAGCCATGTGCTTTATGACAGTGGCGGACTCAACACAAAAGTTCAGCCCGGACGGACGTTGATTATTGACCATCGACAATCAACGATCGTAAGAGCGAGATTGTTTATTAATATTTAATTAAATAATATTGAAAATAAGACTAAGCTTAAAATTTTAAGGCCCAACTACCTAGCCCAAAATAAATGGGCCAAAACTGAAAAAAAAAAAGGTCTCACCTTACTTGAAACAGTGTCTTCTTCCTCCTCCATCTCCTTTCTCTTTGCAACAGGCTGCACATTGACCCGCCGGCGCTGAAGGTATTGAAGACTCTGGCGAATCCAGCACATGCGGCCGCCCCCCTCTCAACGGGTGCTGAGTCCGCCCTTGGCTGTATCACAATTACATTTGTATTTCTGATTCATTTAATATATTCTTTTTAAAATCCATAGGCTTAGTATTTACGTTGTCTTATTGAGCCTAATCGTTTAATATTTTAAAATCTACTAAATATTTAATTTTATTTGAATCAAATCGTGATATAATAAGTTACATGCTAAAGGTTGCACGTCTTTACTTTCTTTCAGAAAACTCTATTTTAATACAGTAAATTGCATTGAACAATTCAAATAATAGGATGGTTAATTGGACTTGAATCCTGAATAATTATTTATTTATTTTATCTTTTTCATGTCAAAATTATATTTATACTATGTTATTTA